CCTGAGACATTGGCCCGAATGAATATTTTGTTTTTGTTTGTTTTCATTTCAACTAACATAGTTTTTTAAGAGAAGGGGATGTAACATATTGGCACGTGAGAATTAGCACCTATTGTATATTATATTTTGTGTACGCATATTTAAGTAGGATAGCACATTATGAAAATATAGAAAGCACACACATCCACGCGGTGTGTATGAACAAGCAGAATAAACCTATTCGACAACACACCACAGCTACGCCTCTACACACTTATCACCGAACACAATATAATAATAGAATACAACACAATCCTATATTTACCCACGCAACAATTAGGAGTTTGTACTTCTTCTCCTGCGTGTAAATATAAAATGGTGGCATGTTACCATGGTTACCAACAGTTTTTGGTCTGTTGTAGAAGCTTTTATGAAACCCTGAGCATTTGTTACCAATGTTTTCTACATAGTGAACTCAACAGCCCTTCGACTGTACAATCACACAGTCATTCCTAGATAAACTCTACGGCTCTATGGCTCTATGGTTCTACAGGTCTATGTCTCTATAGCTCTACAACTCCATACCAAGCACAGAACAGGAATCATTTATTTCAATTTTTTTATAACTGTACTAACTACTTGACGCATTTGCCAAAAAATCTAAACAAACCTTTTAAAGTGTTATTTATGTTATTTCCAGTTATGAATGCAATAGAAAGTTTTGAATAGAAACAAGGGTCATACTAAAAAAATAACTTCCCGAGGAAAGTTTTGAATAAAAACCAAGGGTTGTACTAAGGCACCAAGGACAAAAATTTAATGGAAACAGGGTCATATTAATGTACTAAGGATAGTTCTGAATTGAAACAAGAGTCATACTAATGTACCAAGGAAAGTTTTGAATTGAAACAATAGTTGTACCAACATACTAAGGAAAGTTTTTATTAGAAACAAGGGTCGTACTAGCGTACTAACATACTAAGGAAAGTTGTGAATTGAAACAAGGGTCGTACTAACGTAGTAACTTATGGAGGAGAGTTTTGAATTGAAACAAGAGTCGCACTAACATACTATTAAAGGAAAGTTTCGAATTGAAACAAGGGTCGTACTAATGTATGAGGAAAATTTTGAAAGGAAACAAGGGTCATACTAACGTACTAAGGAGAATTTTGAATGGAAACAAGGGTTGTACTAACGTACTAAGGAAAGTTTCGAATAGAAGCAAGGGTCGATGTACATACCAAAGAATGCTTTGAAACAGGGGTTGTATTAATGTACTATGGAAAGCTTTAAACAGAAAGGGTTGAAGAAACGTACCAGTTAACACTCTAGGGAACTGAAGTAAATTTGGAGAAATATGCAGCAGTCCTAATATACTAATGTACAAAGGAAAGTAAATGTGGTAAAATAAGTGGTCAAGCTAAATAAATTTACTTACTCAAGAAAAGTAAATTTGGTGACTTGGTGTCGTACTAACGTAATAAGGTATTATTAAATTCCCTCTTACTAACATTCTAAGGAAAGTAGAAGCTTAAAAAACCAGTAGAGTGATAAAAAATATTGGGTTGTGAGTGCGAGTTTCTTGATCATCTGTGATGTTGTAATTTTTGTAATTGTAAGTTATTGGCTTTCTTTATTATCTCATATATATATTAGAGTTGTATTACAGTTTACAGTTTTTCAATAATCTTTTTAATGTGCAATTCTGTATTGAGTTTACCCTCTACGCTATATGTTCTACCATCTACATTCTACTCTCTATGTTCTACCAGTCCTACGTTCTATGATCTACCATCCATCCTCTAAGCCCATCTATGCTCTATGTTCTACCAGCTACTCTCTTCGATCTACGCTCTGCACTCTATGATCTACCATCTACCCTCTAAGCCCATCTACGCTCTACTCTCTATGTTCTACCAGCTACTCGCTCTACGCTCTACAATCCACCATCTACCCTCTAAGCCCATCTATGCTCTACTCTCTACGTTCTACCATCTTCTCTCTGCGATCTACGCCCTGCCATCTACCCTCTAAGCCCATCTACGCTTTACTCTCTATGTTCTACCAGCTTCTCCCTTCGATCTACACTCTATGATCTACGATCCACCCACTAAGCCCATCTGCTTGGAAGGTTATTGGAATTTTTTAATTTTTTAATGAAGACTAGTGAGCAGCACAAAGGAAGACTTCTTGTAGTCGTAAGCATTTTTGTTTATTTCTGACGCATTGTCTCTTCTGAGACTTCTTTAGGGAATGATTACAACTAACATTGAACCGCATATATAGCACATAAGTGTGCCTAAGTTTACCTTCCCATGGGAGTGAATAACTACTGAAACATGCTGTAGACGGACATTACAAGAAATGCCTTAATGCACATGTTATTGCGTGTTGTTATATTTTAGGGGCCATACAATTAGCACTAACCGTATGGCCCCCAAAATATAAAAAAAAGTTAAAAAATAAAAACAATAAAAATAAAAGAACAGATTGAAAAATTAAAACATTAAAGAAACACATTTTTTGTTTGGAAGGGTCCCAACGAAATCCCATCAGAGTTTCCTAGTTGTCTCTATAACAAGAATGATTGTATCAAACTTACGTACTATGTTATTGACGAAAGTAGTGTTTCGCTTCTCTCAATTTATTTCTTTACAAAGTTGATAATCTTAGCGCTCTGCAGTTTTCTACCTATCAAAAGCCACTAAATAAGTATCTGTACATTCCCTTTGAGTCGTTTCATCCCACAAGCAACCAGAGGACGTTTAGTAGAGGCGAGCATTTGTGCTATACTAAAAATAGCTCCACGTTTAACGTCTTCAGCGAAATGCGAGAAATTCTCGAAGCACCTCCGGCTTCGGGGTTACCCAGTTGGGTTTTTACTTCCTTTATTCAGGGGCGCTTAATACAGTAACAGAACTTAACGTAAATTGCGCATCGGTTGAATGGTAGTCTTTAAATCTACATTTAACTGTAGTCATGCTAACTGATGTGAAGGACATTTTGTTATAGTGTACCCAAAACGTGTGAATACTTAGGTCACGTGACTTTGAATTTTTAGTGGATGTTTTTTTTTATTTTTTTTAATCAAAATGCTTTATTTCAAAATAAAAACATTATTTACAACATAGTGTGTTTGTCAAGTACACTTACAAACTACTTACAAGACCAAAAAACATAACATTCCAATTCAGTTCTATTTAAATGTTCCAATGACTGCATATTTAAACAAATTTACTTCAGAGCTGTTACCGTAGTTTCTCGGTTATAAGGTGCACTCGGCTACAAGACGCACCCCAAACTTGGCAACTTAATCATGCAAAGTTCCCAAACTGAAAATTATGTGAAAATACTCGGTTATAAGACGCACCAAGAAATGAAGAGTTGATAAAGATAAATTTTCATTCTCTTGGCACAATTAGCAGGCGAACTCTCTTTGTAAACGTGAACAAAAGTGAAAAAGTCACACATTTAATGATATACACGAAAACAAAAGCTAAAAGTTCGCACCTCTAATGATAAACTTGAGTGTAAACAAACAACGCATACACGTTCATTTTAGCCTTCCTGCTCAGGAAACATATTTCGTTTTTTATAAAGATTCTAATAAATATTCGACGATCCGAGTTTGTATTATAAAAACATCAACAAGCTGAACTTAAACACAGTTAGTGTTACCTAGCACGTGCTGTTTAGCACGTACGCGCGTGTGCAAATTTCAGTTTGTTAGCTTTTCTCGTGCAGTTGTTTAACACAAAGCAACCTTGATAATAAAGCTTTCTAGCATTCTAAGACTGTATTTCTTATTAATTTCTAGGAGTAATGGAGTGGATTTGATGCAATCTTCGGTACACCCCAGACCAAAGAGCTCTCCTCGTGTGGGATTCATTCCGTGGGCATTTGACAAATGCCGTGAAAGATCTTCTGGCGAGGCGAAACGTAGAAGTCGCAGTTATTCCTGGTGGCCTTATGCCCGTGTTGCAGCCCCTGGACAAGTGTATCAGCAAACCTTTTAAGACCAAGGTGCAATCCCAATACCAGACTTGGATGGTGAACGGTCCGTTTACTTACACTCCGTCGGGGAAGAAGCATGTGCCGAGCAAAGAACTGGTTTTGCAGTGGATCCAAAAGGCATGGCAAGGGATACCCGCTGATTTGATCATGAACTCATTCAAGTGCTGTGGAATATCAAATGCTCTGGATGGCACCGAGGACGAAGCTGTGTGGGACAAAGAAGAAGCTGGAGAGGAGGAAGCGGATGATG